TCAAACAAATGACCTTGGTCTTAAGTATCTGAAATTTAGAATCGCAATCTGTCAAATGAACGAAGTGTTCTGTCAGTAGATTACATTACACCTTCCATTAGAAAATACAGGTCCTACAAAAAGCGATAATGATTGGAAACTGTTTACGCTGGAACGAAAAAGGTAAAAGAGTGCCACAATAGGACAAAGGTAAGCGACGGATTAATATTTGCAAGCCACTTGAAATGCCAGTTAAAACTTCACAATCTAAAGAGTTTTTTTTTTGTATAAATACGTAGTTCAATACAGTTTTTTTACGTACCAGTTTATGTAGGGCGATCCGCTGTCAGTTAAATCGTTCAAAAATTCAATGGGGTAACTGTTGTGCTCCCGAAGATAATCAGAATTAATTTTAGCAACACTTAAATATGATTTTTCTGCATTGATTAAAGAGCCATCATAATTTTTAGATTTCTTGAGAAATTGGACTTTTCCATTACCAAGTGATTTGAGAAACTCAATAGGTTCAAATTCATGTGGGGAAAATTCAGACCGAGATTTAACATTGTTTACAATTAGGGTGAATTAGGGAGAATCGATGAATTTCAAAAACAATTAATTCCGATAACTCGATAAAACTCGATAACTCTACAAATGTTGATAGCTACCGATAAGTTTAGATAATTGTGTGTTTCCGGAACTGGATAAATTTCGATAACTCAAGACTGTCCATCTCTCAATATATATCGATAACCTGATTTACACTCTGGTAACTGAATAAATAGTGATAGCTCGATAAATTCATGTAATTTTAGAAATTTCTATAACCCGATATACACTTTGAATATTCCAAAAACCTCAATTCCATAAAACACCAACAAATTTCTATAAAACAATAAATATCGTTGACTTGATAATTTGAAAGAACTCGGTACAACTAGATAAATTTCGTTATTTCGATAAACTTCGATTACTTTGCAATTTTTGATCGCATTATAAATATTGATTATTCAATAAATATCATATAAAATAGAATTTCATTATTTTGATAAATTTCGATAATCCGATAAATTTTTGTAACTCGATAACTATCGGTACATTGTAACAATTAAGTACCTGCGTCTCGAAAAATTTGGATAACACTCGTCAATTTCAATAACTCGATACATACCAATAACTTAATGAACGTGGTTGATCTGATATATTTCGATAACTATAAAATAAGATAAGAAACTTCATAACTTTCGATAACTATATTACTGATGACTGAATTTTCTTACCCCTTCAGTTACCCGACTTCATATATACACATATATATTATGTATCTTCTTCATTGTTTTCCATTTTGTTTTTATTTTCAATTTTGCCTTCATTATTTCTTTCTTCATCTTCATATATATTATCTTTATTACAAAGTTGCGTTTCAAATACGAAGTAAAACAAAATGCGAAAACCACTCAAATTGAGCAGGTTGCAATAACAACTATACATGAATACGGAAACTTTTAAACGACGATTTTGGCCGTAATTTTCAACCAATTTTAAAACTACTCATCCACAGAAAAATTACTTTTTCAGTGGTGTTCTTGGTTTTGAAATCGGTTCAGTACAATCGCGTATTAATATATGGATATCGATAACGATTTATATAAATACGCTTATATAAATTCCGATAAATAATATTAATGACGATTGGTACATAAAATCACTTATGAACTTATCGATTAATATACCAAAAATGATATCGATAACGACCACACTATCGATAATACGAAAGTACCTGTATACCATAAATACTCAAACCTTACCTGGCCAACAGTCACAACGTAATTGCATAATCACGTTGAAAATACCAAAACCCGCATTCATACCGCCGTAATCGATCAATCAATCGTTTAATAAGCGAATGATCGCAAAAAATAGCGCACACCGATTCGATTGTAGGCGGAGGCGGACACCGTAATTGGCGAAAAGCGAATCAAGCAAAGTTAAAAAATTAAATAATGAAAATTATACAAAAAAAATGAAAAAAGACAAAAACACTTGAGATGCCAATTACGGTCAACTGGGCTTTAAATATGTAAAACAAATTGTCTGACCGGTGCCCAAAGCAGACGGTAAACGGCCGCTAAGTGGCTGACGCTTGACGCTCGGCGGTTGATAAGTGATGCTCAGCTGTTTGCAGCGCGCAACGGACGACGTTGTGACGTATTCACACATAGCAATGTACATAAGGGTGGTCCAAAAATACATACATAGGACAATAAAGTGTTTTGGTTTTTCCTGCTGCCACCCCCAGAATGGAAGAATATAAAAAATAAGGAGACACGTAGTTTTTTATTTTGAAATCGGGTAATATTTACCCGTGCCGCATTTTTGTAAAGTTGCTATAAAATCGTTAAAAAGAAATAGTTTTTGATCGAATAAGACTATCTCCCTTCAGAAGTCTTCAAAAAATAACAACCTGTTATATACCAAAATTTGTTTTTTTACGTTTTCATAACCACATGACCAAAGAACAGCTCAATGCATGTGTTTATTTTTTTGGCATTCTTTAATTAAAAAAGGGTTGCCAGATATTTGAGAATTAAAAATCATTTAAGGGCTTCATAAAAAAAATTAAGTTTATTCATCAAAACTAAAAGCGTTTGAAGAGATTTAATAACATTTTTGTACGGCGTTGCTACCTTTCTAAAAAATACAACATTCCTTGCAGGAAGGGCATAAACCTTCCATTTGATACCCATATTGTGGTATTAAAGAAGCTTCGATTTTTAATAATTATTGTTCTATTTTTTTAAAAGGTGGCAAACCCGTTCAAAAATATTTTTAGGTATCTTCGAACGCTATTAGTTTTGAAGATGAAACTTAAATATTTTATTGACCTTAAAATAATTTTAAATTTTCAAATATCTGGCAACCCTTTTTTTTCATAATCTGTTTCCACAAACCTACAGGAAACATCGAGTAGAAAGCAAAAAAAGAATTAAACACATCTATTTAGCTGCTCGTCCATGATGTAGTTATGAAAACTTAAAATAACTAATTTTTGTATATAACATATAGGATTATTGGTTATTACTACGCACTTAGTAAAATTTTTTAAGTTAAATAAGCATCATATTGTTGTTTTTTGAAGACTTCTGAAGGGAAATAGTCTTATTCGAACAAAAAATATTTATTTTTACCGATTTTATAGCAATTTTACGAAAAAATTTATTTTCCCCATGTAAAATACATGGGAAACTTCAAAGTACCGGCAGCACGGGTAAATATTACCCGATTTCAAAATAAAAAAATAAGTGTCTCCTTATTTTTGGTATTCTTTAGGTCAGAGGGTGACTGGAGGAAAAAAAATTTGGGCCACCCTTATGTACATACAGACATTGATACATACATATAAGCACAAATGCATTCGCGTCGCGCATTACAATTAACCTTGGCAAAGAAATGAGGAACTGCGATAAAAAAATATGCTATGCTGTAAATGGTTGTTAGCGTTTTTCAGATATATGCGGATTGGCTTTGGTAGGTTTGATGAATTTGAATTTAATAAAAAGAACATTATATAAAGTAATAAGAAATCGTTTTTGGGGTATTTGTTTAGGCATTTCATCTTCTCTTATTTTCACTTTATCTATTTATCGATAATTGGTTAATTATTATTTCAACACTTAATTTAAGACTAAGACTTCTGCTTCAAAAATGTTACAACAACTTTAATGTCCCCAGCTTTAAAGTATTTCTAATCTCAAGTTTCGCGCAGTACACGCAGTGCCTGTATCCTTATTCATTTTCGATATATCAGTGGAAACAAACACCGAATCAGTCATCCTCATGCGCTCTCATTCGTCTAGAAGTACCGATCCGGAATCTCGTAGTCGATCTGTTTAAGAAGTTTTGACACTACATTTACTACTACTGTAACCGTAGGACATGCACTCCGCATAGACCTTCTTTGACAGTTTGCTCTCCAGTATTATTCCGATGCGTCGTGTTCCTTGTAATTTCAAAAAAAAAAAAAAACTTTATTGAATTACATCGAATAAAATACATAGATGCATCGAATAATATTGCATTAATCGATACATCGGAATACATTCGATGAATCGAATTGAAAACATTAATGTTTCCGAGACACAATTTCTCCTTACTATGACGGAGCAACAAAGTTCAGCAAATTCTCTTTGTATTTGCTTCAGTATTTTGTGAACCAGCTATGACCAAAGTAGCGACCTTAGCAGACGCGATACTATTCAGGCAAATGGTCTCTTCAAGCCTTCGGCTATTAAACAGCCCCCACTATCCTTAATGGCATTGGCATATAGTACAGCCTTATACAGCCGTCGAGAATATTGCTCAACCATCCCCTTGTTTTCTGACCATATTCAGTTGCAAAACGATAAGAATAATAATTATTTCGTCGATAAATATATCGATAGATAAATATGTTCAAAATGGCGTTATAGAATTAAAACTAATTAGACTAATTTTTGTTTAAGTTAGTCCGGACCCACTCTCACAAATAGCCGAGTAATGCCAAAGGTCTGCTGCGATACACTCATCCTCATTTTTCGAAGTTCAACAATCAAGGTTTTAAAAGTTCAATTGGCATAAAATGAAATAGCATTTTTATGCGATTTTTACTGCAAAGCACGAACGACTTTTCCACATTGCGAGTCGTAAAAATTCAATCAATTTTTAATCAAAGTGGCTACATTGCCTAACAGTCTAATTCACAAATCGCAATCGCAAATGCTAATTACTTTCACATATTCTCACGATGCCACTAACACTAATCTAACTTAGCATTGAGTTAACTAACAAACTTCATTCATGGCTTACGAAAATCAGCGGCTAACAAGATATTGATTAACTGCTTATAAACATCCAGAAGCTGATCTCGGTGCGCTCGGCAGCTTGGTGTGCATTTGTGCGTGTGTGTGTGTGTGTGCGGTCATTGCCGATTTGTTACTTTTCTGCACTAACACTTCCCTGACACACTTTGTGTTACCATGAAAATGGCACATCCGACGGTGGTAAAGGAAAACAAAACAATAACAGCCCAAGAAACAAAAAACGTACACAAATGTTAACATACATATGTAGATATACATACATATACACCAACATGTAGATACAAAAAAGTTATGAGTAACCCAAAGCTGCTTCAGCGTCTCAAAGCAGTTTCTGCAGTTTCTTAGCTGGCATTCTCAAATTCGCAATAGAAACAAACAGATTTAAGTGTAAGTATGTATGTGCACAAATGTCTAAATAGCTATATATGTAGGCTAATAAGTATGTACCATTCAGTATTGCGTATCGTTGGCCAAAATGCCCAGCCTGACCAACGACCGCCTTTACCTTTATTGGCATTAATAATTGCAAACAAATAAAAGTATGTCATCACACTTAAAAATACGCAGAGATTGTTTCCAAATTGCCACACATCTAGGTGTACTTATTCCTCTTGCTATGTGTTGAGAAAAATCGCATATTAGTGCTAAATAATTACCGCTTAATTTAGTGGTAACTAATGTTTTCCACTCGATTATGTCTAAGCAAGGTCCCTTCTCCAGCAAACATCTGAAGCAAGCCTGCCATGTAGCGCTTGAAGGACACACTTCACTGGCGACATTAAGTCATTCACCCAGGGAAAGAGTTTAGTTACTTACGTCAAATAAGTAAACATTTTCCTCGCAACAACAAGATTTGGTAACTATGATCGAATCGTTTAACTATAACCAAATATCGGTATTGATTGATTATTTTCAATTCACTTACGATAATATTTTGAGATATGTAGTAAAATAAAGTAATAAGAGAGCATAAGAGAAGTCTCAATCAAACTTCCTTTCCTTCCTAATAAAATGTGGGCAAAAAAAAGAATTATGGACGGATTTACGTAAATGAAAATTGGCTTCTTAGTGACGCTAAAAATTTTTAACGCTGATTTCTCACACTACATCTCGTTCTTTTTCCATCTCTTTGCAGCCGAAATTAATACGCAAGTACGGTTATCCATCGGAGACGCATACCGTGGTGACAAAGGATGGCTATATCCTGGAGATGCATCGCATACCGAAGCGTGGCGCCCAGCCGGTGCTGCTGATGCACGGCATACTGGACACGTCGGCCACGTGGGTGCTAATGGGGCCCAAGTCGGGGTTGGGTGAGTTGTGTTGTCGCACAAATTCACTCCATGGAGTGCTTTTTTGCATCTGCATTTTTTCCCCATTCCCTTTCACTCTCTCCACACATGCTACACTTTGTAAGCCTCCACATTTGTATACAGACTTGCATTTTCCATGCATTCAGTTCTTTGCGCGCGCCTTCGTCAACTTTGCCGCATTCAGCCCTACGGGGATTTTTTAATTAACTTTCTGTGTTTTTGATGCGCTCGCGTGTATCTCGCGTGTATGCATTTGTTTGTACGTGAGTGTGAGTTGTACTAACCAGTCATTCACTTTTATTTCTTTCCTTACTCTTTTTCACCTCTCTCTATGCTCTTATCTTGCTATCTGCCCCCATTGCCAATAGGTTATATGCTCTCCGACCTGGGCTACGATGTGTGGATGGGCAATGCGCGTGGCAATCGCTATTCGAAAAATCACACCAGCCTCAATAGCGATTACCAGGAATTCTGGGATTTCACCTTTCACGAAATGGGCAAATACGATTTGCCCGCAAACATCGATTATATCCTCAGCAAAACAGGCTACGACCAATTGCACTACGTGGGACACTCGCAGGTGAGTTGCATGGCCACTTTTTAATGCTCCTTTCCGGTGATTGCTTTTTCCTGAACGTTTCTGTTTGTTTTCATTTTTTTTTCATAGGGCACAGCCGTCTTTTGGGTCCTCTGTTCGGAGCAGCCCTCCTACACACAAAAAATTCTCTCCATGCACGCATTGGCGCCGATCGCCTTCATCTCGGACATGAAGAGTCCACTGTTTCGTACTTTGGTGGTTTTTCTGGATTTCCTCACGGTGCGTATGCTTTGCAGACGATACGTACAGGATAACGGCTTACTACTTGCCGTTGGCCGCTTTTTTGCTGCTGCTGTTTCTTTTTGTTGAAATTTTTTCTTTCTCTGCTTTTAGGCGGCGACGCGCATGTTACGCATTACTGAATTTANTGTTTTTCTGGATTTCCTCACGGTGCGTATGCTTTGCAGACGATACGTACAGAATAACGGCTTACTACTTGCCGTTGGGCGCTTTTTTGCTGGCTGTTTCTTTTTGTTGAAATTTTTTGCTTTCTCTGCTTTTAGGCGGCGACGCGCATGTTACGCATTACTGAATTTATGCCCAACACAAAGCTGTTTGTGGATCACAGCCAGGTGGTGTGTCATGACAATGCAATGACACAGGACGTCTGTTCGAATATCCTGTTTCTGGTGGCCGGCTACAATTCGGAGCAGTTGAACAAGGTATTTGTGTGTGTGTGTGTGTGTGTTGTGTGAATTACATATGTATGCAGATTTTCCTACAGGTACCCTCCTGCTGGAACGCAATGTCGCACGCAATATTCAATGAACTTACATATATACAGTGACTCAAACAAGTATTCACATGTTTTTTAAGTAAAATTTTTTGTTATTTTTCTGCCATGCTTTACCCAAAACCGTATAAACCGAAGTTTCAAAAATGTTTTTTTCTGAAAATTTTTACTTAAAAACATTGTGAATATTTGAAATTTTGATGCGAATAATTTTTTCAGTCACTGTATTAGATATACAGGGCACACATAAATATTGACCATATTCTACCCCATGCCTTGCGGAAACCTGATCAATGACGCTTTGTCGTGTAAGGAATCCTAAGTATATTTATTTCGAATTTTCAACAAGTTTAATGTTCTTTGTTCTTTGAAAACCCAGAGTGATACTTATGTATTTGAGACAGAACGAACGGTCGATCATCTCGAAAAAAATCGCCCACCAATCAGGGGGTATATAAAATTTGCTATACAAAAAATTTCTCGGAGCAGATTTATGGTTTTCAAATCATCATAGCGTCGAGCAATATCTGAAGTTTAAGTTCATATTTGCCTTATAGATACAATCTCTTTGCCTTCCAGTTATTAATTTTGAAAGTCCGAGTAGTAATAGCATGGATTAGTTATTAGCCAGGTGCATGGCCGCGTGTTTGCCTCAAGTTGTAATCAGATTTTGATGTGGCCAATATCATGAAGCCATCTTACGGTCTTCAGTTCAGCCCCTTTCAATATGACGAATAGTCAATTACGCTCCAATTTTCTGTCGTTTTCATAACTCTCAAATATGTGTAGCCACGGAAAAATTGGGCTTTTTACTCGATTTTATCATTAGAACATACATTTTTTCTAGTTAAAATGTCATGTGATAATCACATCATCAATTGTATGTCATATGATGTTAAGTCATCTTATACTAGCGTTATCATAACAAATTTTGCATTTGATATATGTAATATGTTCTTCAATTAACCTAGCCATTTTCAAGATATAAATATGTTGAT